ACCAGGACTCTTCCTAGAGCTGGCCTCCTGGCCAAATGGAGCAATTGATGGAGAAGGGCCTGGTCTAGACTGGTGACCAAGAAGCTGGTCACTCTAGATGAGCTCCATGATCATATATGCAGATGGAAGAAACTTACAGAAAGACAAACATCACTGCAACACTCCACCAATCTGGGCTTTATGGTGGTGTGGCCAAACTCAATCCTCTCCTCAGTGAAGACACACATGGAATTTGCAAAAAAGAAAAGCACCTAAAGCACCCTCAGTCTGTGAGAAACAAGATCCTCTGGTCTGAAGAACCTCTAAGCAGCATGTTTGAAGGAAACCAGCTCTGCTCATCACCTGCAGAGTACCATCCCAAAAGTAAAGTGTGCTGGTAGCAGCCTCATGCTGTGGGGCTGTTTTTCAGCGGCAGGGGCTGAGGGACTCATCAGAGTATAAGAAAAGCTCAATGAACCAAAATATTGAGATAGCCTTAATGAAAACCCAGTCCAGAGCATTCAGAACTCAGACTGGGCAGAAGGTTCACCTTCCAACAGGACAATGACCCTAAGCACACAGCAAGAGTGGCTTATAGACAACTCTGTGAATGTCCTTGAGTGGCCCAGCCACAGCCTGAGCTTGAACCCAATCAAATATTTCTGGAGAAACCTGAAAATGTGCATCTGCCCCTATCCAACCTGACACAGCTTGAGAGGTGAAGAGGCGAGGAGACAAATGGCAGATAATTGTCAAATGATGATGATCAAAGCTTGTCGCATCATACCCAAAAAGATTTGAGGCTCTAATTGGTGCCAAAGTTGCTTCAACAAAGTATTGAGCAAAGGCTGTGAATACATATGTAAATGAGACTTTTTTTTAAATGTTTATATATATATATATATATATATATATATATAAATTTGCAAAGATTTCAAACAAACTTCTTTCACGTTGTCATTATGGGGTATTTTTTTTTGTAGAATTTTGAGGAAAAATAATTTAATTCATTTTGGAATAAGGCTGTAACATTACAAAATGTGGAAAAAGTTACAGATGCATTGTACGTCCCAATTTGAAAGCAAATTTTATAAAATACAAATAAGCTGTACAGATCTTTATTAGAAAGGGTATAAACAATGTTTTTCATTCTAGGTCAATGAACCACAAACAAATATTGCATGTGCACCTGTGGAACAGCTTTTAAAACTCCAGGGGACTGACTCTGACTCTGACTAGATGTCTAGGCCGGTTCCTGATCACCTGTGTGAACATGCCATAGTCCTGTGACAGGACTGTAGATGTGACCACAGCAATAAACTGCAATGTCCATAATGTAAGACACTTAACACAGTGCTACAGGGAAACAGTAATGACATCTGATCGCCCTTGCAGTCACAAAGCACATGTAAACATGTGCCCCCCACCCTCGACGTGTTCAAGAAGAAGATGCACTTTAGTACTTAAGGCAGCCAATTTACAAGTAATAAAACAATTCACTTAACTTTGACAACTAAAATCAATATTTTTAATGTCCAACTATTTTGCATTGTGCAAAATTATCACAAATTATTACTAATGCTTTGTTTAATGGTATGTCTCCTCATTTACAGTTAGAGCAAGGATGTGAACATGAGTTCCATCAGTGGGTCCAATAACTCCAGGAAAGCCCACCACAATCTTCACAAAAGTGGCTTGTTTTTGCAGTATGGTTTGGCAGTCAGTTGAAAATTCAATAAACTGCCATATAGTAGTGGCCAAAAGTGATAGGAAATTTGACATATTTTCATCCTTAATTTAAAAAAAATGTGCAAGATTTTGTAAGCATATTGCATAGTTGCTTAGTCAGTTGTTTTATTTGTGATAATAATGCAATGAAACAAGCCAAATTGTGCGGTCATAATTTTTGGACATGCTATCATACAAAGAAATTATGAACACATGCAAAAACAAGAGGACCAATGAAATGTAAATAACGTATGTTGTAGTCAGTGTGCCAATGTTGCCATTTTAGTGATTTTGTCACTAGATTTAGTGACTTCCGCATCCCTTTAGAGACTTTTTTCAAAAACCTACCAACAAAATCAATATCTTGGACAAACGTTATCTACATTCCGAGACTCTCCCATGATGTCATAAAGGCGAGTTCACTGATCTATATAAATATGAATATAGATCAATGAACTCGCCTTTATGAGGTCATCTAGCAACATTAAGTGACCAGTTTTAGCTACTTTCAAATGAACGCAGTTGGCAACACTGGTCAGTGTTTTTTTGTCCTTTGTATTTTAACGGTTTAAGTGAAATGTGGGGTCATAAAAAAATAATTAAAACATCACGTTTGGCCACTGTTGTGTTTGGTGGGGTTAGTGCCACAATCTGTAAGAACCTGCCTACTGTGTCATCACCAGTGCTTTGCTGCATTTTTCCAATTTTCCAGCCAAAAAAAATGTATTACAACTTTCATTTCTGCTGTTAGAGCATTGACATTTTTTACTTTATCAGTTAAAAAAAACCAAAAAAACTTTTTGATCTTTACAATTAAGTTTGTATCGTTTTATCAACTCCATATTATCATAAGTCCAATATATGTTCGCTGGAAAGTGTTTGTCGTCTCCTCTTTGCTACCATCTTATTACTCCTAACTAGGTTAGGAGACCTCTCCAGCTCTCTTAAATAATTTAGGAGCTGAGACCTCTTTTAACACTTAGGAACCTTTATGAATCACTCTCATTCTTAAGTCTAGGAATAAGAGTAAAATTACGTCATTCTTAGAATTTTGACACACTTAAGACTAAACTTTTACTTTGAGCGGCTTTATACATACGGCCCCTGATCACCCTAATTTATTTGCAATTTTGTACTTTATGCCTTGCTTGCATTTGATTGCGTTTACAATTTCAATAGGTAGAAGTTAAATAGGTAGAAGATGTCTTCAGGAAGAGGAGGAGTTTTTGGTCTTCAGTCATTTAGACACTTGATAAATGAACACACACAGACAAAATCATAAAAAAGGATTAGAAAAGGCTAAATTATATATTTTTTTAAATAGTCGCACATGGTCTTCACAGTCCAAAAATTACTGCTATATTAATGGGAAAATTCGAAAATACAGAACAATTTGTGATGTACAATCTACAAATCATCCATGATGATGTACTATTTGATGTCTAAATACATATACAAATGCAAAACCTAATAAAAGTAAGTACTATGTCTGAAAATAGACTTACAAGCAAATGCGTAAAACACAGCCCTATAGAGAGGTATACAGGCTATACATGGTATATGATTTTATTTTCCCCTTTTTTGAATTTAACACTGTTGTGTTTGGTGGGGTTAGTGCCACAATCTGTAAGAACCTGCCTACTGTGTCATCACCAGTGCTTTGCTGCATTTTTCCAATTTTCCAGCCAAAAAAAATGTATTACAACTTTCATTTCTGCTGTTAGAGCATTGACATTTTTTACTTTATCAGTTAAAAAAAACCAAAAAAACTTTTTGATCTTTACAATTAAGTTTGTATCGTTTTATCAACTCCATATTATCATAAGTCCAATATATGTTCGCTGGAAAGTGTTTGTCGTCTCCTCTTTGCTACCATCTTATTACTCCTAACTAGGTTAGGAGACCTCTCCAGCTCTCTTAAATAATTTAGGAGCTGAGACCTCTTTTAACACTTAGGAACCTTTATGAATCACTCTCATTCTTAAGTCTAGGAATAAGAGTAAAATTACGTCATTCTTAGAATTTTGACACACTTAAGACTAAACTTTTACTTTGAGCGGCTTTATACATACGGCCCCTGATCACCCTAATTTATTTGCAATTTTGTACTTTATGCCTTGCTTGCATTTGATTGCGTTTACAATTTCAATAGGTAGAAGTTAAATAGGTAGAAGATGTCTTCAGGAAGAGGAGGAGTTTTTGGTCTTCAGTCATTTAGACACTTGATAAATGAACACACACAGACAAAATCATAAAAAAGGATTAGAAAAGGCTAAATTATATATTTTTTTAAATAGTCGCACATGGTCTTCACAGTCCAAAAATTACTGCTATATTAATGGGAAAATTCGAAAATACAGAACAATTTGTAATGTACAATCTACAAATCATCCATGATGATGTACTATTTGATGTCTAAATACATATACAAATGCAAAACCTAATAAAAGTAAGTACTATGTCTGAAAATAGACTTATATAGCGTAAGTTTTAATAACTGGTTAATAAAATGGGATTAAATACATAAAGGATATTTGTGTTGTTTAACATTTAATTATTGCAGGTTTGCATCATATTCTGAGCTCCATTATTTTTGTTCATTTTGAGGAATACTGAATGTGTTTTTGATTTTGAGATGAATTAATGCATATTCATATTTATTTTAGAACTACAGTAACATCTGATTTCTCTAAACATGGGGACAGGAGAGCTGTCAGTCAATAAATTGGGGGAGAAAAGTAACTTGCGTTACTTATTTGAAAAAGTAACTCTGATATTCTCTTGTAAATTAAAAAGTAATGCGTTACTTTACTAGTTACTTGAAAAAAGTAATCTGATTACGCGTTACTTGTAATGCGTTACTACCGCCAACACTGTTCATCAGTAGCTGATGCAAAGTTGAAACACTTCCAAATCCTGACATGATTTTTGTAAATCCAGTGGTCAAATGCTGTGTAGTTACCTGACTAATGACTGATCTCTGTTTGAATGGCCACAAAACTAGAAGACTTTCCGGGATAGAAGAGATTCTATTTCATTTAAAAGATGAAAAATCAATCAGTTATTGATATCGTGTAAACAATAATCATGTAACCCATAAAAGTAACTGTAGTCTGATTACGAGTATTTTAAAATGTAATTTAAATCTAAAAACAAGTACTTAATTTTTGGAGTCTGATTTCGTAATCCAGATTACATGTAGTCAGTTACTGCCCAGCTCTGTTTATAACCTATACCAGATGGTTACCACAAGAATTTAAGGTCACCCACAGAACCAACAGTCGTTTTTCTCGGTCTCTCCGGGAACAAAAGAGCATTAATGCGTGCGTGGCACAAAGTCTTTTGCAATAGCTGTGCCCGTAGACGCCTATCCAGCAACATTTGTGGAAGTCTCCATTACACGTCACCGCCCCGCACATCTCGACTCGACGGGCCTTTTGTTTTCGATCAATCATGCTGCATGTCCGTGTGTGTTCATTCACACATCCGTGTGTGTAGTGTTCAGATCTCATGGCTGCGTGGCGCACGCACGCAACTGCTGGCTTTTTTTGTATCACTGTCTTTTCGTGACTCAATCATAAAGAGGACAGTGGGAGTTTAACTGAATAAAGGAGCAAGGAGAGAGAGAGAGAAACTGAGAAACAGAGAGTGAGAGGGAGCGAATCGATGTAGCCATACAGGCTGCGGAGTGTTTATGTATTTGTGCTGGCTCCCCTTTTTCTTTCTTTCTTATTATTTGTCAACTGATTTTCCAAAATGAGGTTAAAAGTTGGATTCATCCTTCGAAGTTTACTGGTCATCGGCACGTTTTTGGGGCTGGTTTTGCTTTGGTCTTCGCTGACACCGAATGGAGTCGACGATAACCCGTTTGCTGGCGTACTGGTAAAGTATCGCTTTAATGTTCTTGAGTTATCTTGATACCTGAGTGTTTTCGTTGTGCTGTTAATGTCATCCTCCCTGTGTTAGTATTCAGCAGGCTCGGCTAGCTTGATGACGGGGCTGGTTTTGCTTTGGTCTTCGCTGACACCGAATGGAGTCGACGATAACCCGTTTGCTGGCGTACTGGTAAAGTATCGCTTTAATGTTCTTGAGTTATCTTGATACCTGAGTGTTTTCGTTGTGCTGTTAATGTCAGCCTCCCTGAGTGTGTTAGTATTCAGCAGGCTCGGCTAGCTTGATGATTAGCATGCTAACTGCTGCGGTTGTCATGGAGATGAGCAGCGAGAACTGACCGATGAATTGTAACAGACACAGACGTTTATATTTATCCCGAAATGTAACTAAATGTGCATTTCCATTCAAATGAACTAAAACACACAGATATGGCTGTAAGCTGCTAGCACGGAGAGCTAAATGTCGCTCTCTACATCCTCACAAGTGTCAAATTCAGTGAAAACCCGGAAGGTCATTATTGTAGTTAACGTTACTGGTTCTTCATTTGAGACACGCATCAATTATGTAAAATCACATAAAAAAAGCAGATATTTTCAAGTAAAATATGATTATTTCCGGTGGTCTTTCTAGGTGGTTTGCTGTTTCAGTGACTAAAGGGGTCTTCGAGATTGAATAGGGGGGTCGATGTGCTTGCCGACTGAATTAAAGGCCGAATATCAGCTCGACATTAACGAATATACACCCAATAAGACACACTTCTCTACTTTCACAAGAGATTGCATAGAAATGCAAGTGTGTGTGTGTGCACACTGACACGTGGCACACTTGACAGCTTTCTGTCAGTAGATGTAACAGCTGCCTGGTTTACCTTGGCTTGTCATTCTGACATTGTAGTTAACGTTGGATTTATTTGCACAGAGCATATATTATTTGTACTTAGTCTCTTCTTTGTTCACTCATTTCTCTTTAGGTTATGTTTTGCATAATGGGTTCTTATATATATATATATATATATAAAATTATATTTTTTAGAATTTTATAACCACCAATTTGTCTCATATATTTGTCTCGTTTCATAGGCAGGACGAGATGCAGATAAACTCTTGCAGCCCAACCTTCCCAACAATGACATGGCTGACCAGTTCAAGCCGGTTGTTCCTTGGCCCCACGTCGAAGGAGTTGAGGTCGATCTAGAGTCTATCCGCCAGAAAAATGTTGACAAGCCAAACCCTGCATTCAAAGCCCAGAACCAGCAGAATGTCATCCAGAAGCAATATATCACCTTCAAGCCTCACACCAATATGTTTAGTGAACCTGTGTTGAAGAAAGGAGTTCTGGGCAACTTTGAGCCTAAGGAACCTGAGCCTCAGGGGGTCCAGGGTGGACCGGGAGAGGGCAGCAAAGCATTCGTACTGGGACCGGAGTACAAAGATTCTGTTCAGGCCAGCATCAAGGAATTCGGTTTTAATATGGTAGCCAGTGACATGATTTCTCTGGATCGAACCGTTGGCGACTTGCGACATGAAGAGTGAGTATAAGGACGCAGGCCATTCTGATTTGTGAATGTATTATTTGGGTGTGTGTGAGGGGAGAATGTGGGTATGGTGGTAACTTTGGGTTTTTGGACATTTTGTTTTTAAAGGCTTTTTGCTTCACAAGATATTAACCGGATGATCAGGGCCATCGCTAGGATTTCTGGGCCCTGTGCACTGAATTTGCTATGGGGCCCCCTCAAAATCATGTGGTGTGGGTAGTAAAGTTTTTTTTACAGTTTTTTTTTTTAATGAGTACTGTTTTTTTTAACCCCTGGACTGGGGTTAAAATTTATCCCTGGACAAATCGAGCCCATCCGGCCCACAAATTCCCCCTTGAATGTTTTGATGGGTCATAGGGCCTTCAATTGGAGTAAATAAATTAATACATAAAACAGGACAGAAACGAATACTGATGGATATTACTGAATTTACGACAAATGTCACATATAAAAGCACTTGACAGTAAAGCATTGATTTTGAGCTAGACTGCTGGAAAGCTACTGCTAATAAATTCTGTCATAATTTCCTCACCCTCATGTCGTTCCAAAAGACTTTCTTCTGTTGAACACAAAAGAAGATTTTGTAGAATGTTACCAAGCCATTTTTGGTTACCCTTGATTTCTACTGTATGGACAAAAATACAGAAGAAAGAAATTCATACAGGTTTGGAATGGCATGATGTTGAGTAAATGACAATTTTCATTTTTGGGTGAATCTCCCTTTGGTCCTCATTACAATGGTTATATGGTTTTTAAAATAAATAAGTAATAATAAACTATAAAATCTGTCGTTAAAAAAAAACTAAACATGAAGAAACTACAAAACATCTTTTATAAAATTAAAAATATTCCCCAATATGTAATAACAGTAACATTTATAATAAATTTCTGCCAACACATAGGCTATTTGTAAAGTGTTAATAACTTCAAGTTCATCAGTGCTGTGCGGGTGACTGATCTCGCTCTGCTTTGATGCGCAGATGCATCGGGTAGCGCTGCTTCACACTTTTGGAGTATTTGCTTTATGCGGTTTCGCATGCACTGTAATTACCAAACCATTTTTGGTTACCCTTGATTTCTACTGTATGGACAAAAATACAGAAGAAAGAAATTCATACAGGTTTGGAATGGCATGATGTTGAGTAAATGACAATTTTCATTTTTGGGTGAATCTCCCTTTGGTCCTCATTACAATGGTTATATGGTTTTTAAAATAAATAAGTAATAATAAACTATAAAATCTGTCGTTAAAAAAAAACTAAACATGAAGAAACTACAAAACATCTTTTATAAAATTAAAAATATTCCCCAATATGTAATAACAGTAACATTTATAATACATTTCTGCCAACACATAGGCTATTTGTAAAGTGTTAATAACTTCAAGTTCATCAGTGCTGTGCGGGTGACTGATCTCGCTCTGCTTTGATGCGCAGATGCATCGGGTAGCGCTGCTTCACACTTTTGGAGTATTTGCTTTATGCGGTTTCGCATGCACTGTAATGTAAAAACAGTGCCTAATATCGGGGAGTTCTTCCTCGTTTCGGCGATCGGATTCGGCCCACTAATTGATTGGAATGTCCCGGTGCTCCCGATGGCAAGTAGGTGATCGCGGGCCTCCTCAGAACTCTGGGCCCTATGCACTCTGTCACCCTTTTCCCCCCACTAGCGAAGCCCCTGCGGATGATCCTCTCTTGTTTTAGCATGTGTTTGACTACAGTTTTTATTAAAGAAAAAAAAAATGTACTCAAGTTT